ATTGGCAAACCAGGACTGCAGTGTCCTCAAGTCTTTGCTTTAAACTACAACTCATTGACTTGTTACAGGTTCAACATACCTCAACTCTGTGATCTGCTTATTTTAGGGCTCAGACACACAAACAAGATAATCTGGTAAACTGAGTCCCAGCTGCGGTTTGTGCATCTACTTGTAGCCACAACAAACAGCAGATGCATCTACTTTAGCTTTTTAGCTTCATCAGGGTTACATTTTTTAAGCAAGTTTCCCTATTATCCTGATTTATCATACATTGTTTAAGAACATGGAAACAAAAGTGCTTTCAGATTAAATCATAGGAGCAGATTTAGTACCTGCTACCTGGCAAGGAGTCTCCAGGTGACAGAATGAAACTAGAGCTAGTTTAAAGTAAAAATGCTACAGCATACACAGCATGAAGGCTGAGCACTAAGCATTAGCATTATCTACAAACCCCCTTCTTTGCCCCACACTACTGTAAGCACAGCCACTGTATATGCCTCAATTTATTCATCTTCCCCTGGTTAAGAAACTGACTGAAGTTGCCATGTGCTGCAAACATGCATGATTACTTCAGCCCCAGCAGCACCGCACAGATACCACCAACCAAGTTACTATCCTACGCTTTTTGCTCCCACATACCCGTGCCTTTGGGATGTGATCTCTCAATAATGTATGCTAGCACCCAGGCCTTACTCATCTGCAGTTTCCAGACCTTCCCGAAGAGTCTTTGAACAGACTCCAGTCCCTTACTAAAGCAGCTTCTTGTAAATAGGTTCCTGATGAGAGACTGAGGAGTCCTGTACCAGCCCCCTGGCCTTTTGTCCAGAGAGCATCACTGCTGCTGCTTGTGTGGGCTTGTGCTGCACAGGTAGTTCCTGGCTGCTCTGTGGTGCTCAGATAACAGCACACATCTAGGCTAAATTCTTCACAAAGGAACTTTCCTCTAAGATCTACATCTCTGCAGGTATGAGGAATTGCTCAGCACTTGATATTTTAAGCAGCAGGAGGCACTCCTGATAGTGGAGGATTATGGATATAGGAGTAATCTGGGAACAGAAAGAAATTACATACTTCAGGTAACTTGTCCAAGTAATCCAGCACTATCTGCACCCTCTAGCAACAGCAATCTAAACAGCTGAATTGAGAGAATATTATAACAAATGGATCAGAATAACCTGAAGTCTTTATGTACAACTACTTATATACAACACATTAATACTGTTAAAAATTCAGGAGTCTAAAACTCCTTATGGGCAGAGCATGCACAGCGTTGACTAGGTTCAGTATACACAGACAACGTTCAAATTTGGGAGGCATAGATTGCCTTTGAGGGAGGCTGGGAGGAAGGCTGACATACAGTCACGAGAACCATTAATACATACAGCAAGTGCAGTTTGATCCTGCAATGGCAAAATCATGTTAAAGGTTTGATTTATGTAGATAAACCTATCAGTATAATACTGAGAGGAATTTTGCTCTAATGTGAGTATAAACTGAAATGCTACCAGAGAGAGGAATGGCCACTTACAGCAAAATCTATCCTGCATGACCAATCAAAGAAGGGGCTGAGTTTTTGTATGAAGGTTCAAATACATCAAAACTGTGACCTTTCAATAATCCACAAGGCAGCAAAATGGACTGAGAGGTTCTTTCAAGAACTTGAAAAGGAAATTCCATGCCCTTGTCTATTTAATTCGAATCATACCAAGTAGTCTGTTTAAAAAATTGTGAAACCAGTTGAACTGTCTAGCAGCTCATGTACACCAGTTAACGATACATTTGTACTTCTGCTTTTTGACATAAATCCCTGAAGTTATGGAATGAGTAACAGTTCCTCTCCTGAGAGAGCTGTAATGGTAAACTATGACAGAACTGACTCTGAATTCTCAGACACTTAAGAAACAGAAACAAGTTTTCTTCTCACAATCTATGTATCACATTATGCTATTTCAGAGTTCACGTGTTCGAATTTCTGTTTACATGTTTTTTGAAAAAGGGTCACTGGAAATTCTTCCTAACATCCACATCATTAAATATTTACATTCAGGCCTAAGATGTCTTGTAAAATTTTGATAGCATATCCTCCTATTTGAAAAAATAATAACAAAACCTCAACCCAAAACCTAGTTCATATATGAAGCAAAACATTCTTAATACTGTCTAAACTGTCGTTTCTTCCTAAAGCACAAGGATGTTTATGCTCTTGCCTTACAGGAGATAAACAGAGCAGCATACCTCTCCATATTTGTAAATGTTAACTCTACAAGGCAGAAACTGGCTTCTGTATGCACCAGGCTTCTGTTTCTTCACTGCTCAAAAAGCCATAATATGACATATAGGTATGTGTAAATTGAAACAACAAAGATATATGGCTGTGCCACAGAAAAACATGCAGTCTCAATATTTACTCCACATATCACCTTGACTCCAAGAAACTTCTCAAAATTGCCTCCAGAAATTCATCTTAGGTACTAATCCAGCTGTGTAATAGTATATCGTGTAATAGTATATCTGGGATAATTCCATGAGTCTGTGGGTCAGTTGCATCCTCAGATCTGGTGTAGATCAGAAGCAACTTTCCTAGATTCAGTGGGGATAACTCTGCTGCTGTAAGTGTGGCAGAATTATATTACTACTTTAAAAATTTTCAAGAAAATGCTCTGAGAATTAATAAGTATAACATATCGACCCAACTGAGTATCATGTAAGGTAAAAGTACTCACACCAATATGTACAAGACTGAGAGCAAATAACTCTAGAAAGGACCTTTTATTTGCATGTGTCATTCTAGAATACACTCCTAAAGGCATCCTGGTTAACAGAACATAACTGTTTGCCAAATATGTACTTTTAAAAAAGCAGTCAACTGTATGGAATACTTTGAGTAGTGTTAGAGCTGTCTAGGTTTTGTAATACAAAGACTGCATTAAGCTACAACATGCTGCCAACGGAAAAAGAAGTGAAACTGCAAAAATCAGAGCCGTGTAAGATTCTTGAACGAGTACTTAGTAGGGAAGGTTAAACCTTAACAGGAGTGTCTTAAGTTTAACATATCAGGGCACCTACTCAGATGGCTAAACATGGATTTAGGATCCCCTGTGATTCAGATGTTTATAATCTGGCAACTAAACCTACAGTTGGGCATCTAAGGAAAAGTGTCCAGCATACCAGAAGTCCTTACACCTACAGCTCTAACAGCATGCAGATATTGTCATTCTGCCTAGAAGAGCCTTAGATTCACTCATCTTCTAAAATCTTGGTAGATTTCAACTCTAGTAGTCCTTCATTTTTGGAGAAAATAATGAGACTTTTTTGTGTTTCTGCTAACTCTGATCAATAGACTGTTGTCCCAGACTTTTATGTCTCCCCATTATAAAAAAAAAACCCAAAACAACAAAACCGAAACCAAACATTCCAACCTGTTTGATATCTAGCTTGCAAGCTCAGTAAAGCAGAAAAGCAGTTTAATATTTGTTATTACTGGACAAAACAGTATTAACCTCAACTGGGACAGGACAAGTTATTAATTTGTGGCATTAGAAATTTGTTCATGATCAATATTACTGATCCTTTTTCTTTTGTAAGGACAAAAGTACGTTGAGGAAATAACTGCTGTTGTTTTCAAATGAACGCTAATTGTGAAATTTGGAATTTGTTTTTGACTCACTGTAGGTTCGCAGCAAGAGCAAAGCAGCTAAGGCTGGACTGTGTGAGGGAGATGAGGTGGTGTCTATCAATGGCAAGCCTTGTGGAGACTTAACCTATGCTGAAGTTACCGTCCTGATGGAAAGCCTGACTGACGTCCTGCAGATGCTTATCAAGAGGTATAGGAATGCTCAGAATGCTTTGGTGCAATTCTGTTCAGTGAACCACACGAAAACGATGGTTTTGAATGCACTCATTTTTCAGACTTACACTGCAAGCTTCTGATGGTCCTCTTATTAATGCCTGTAACTCTGCTTGTCTGTATGGAAGAGAGAAGAAAGACAATTTGATCTGAAGGAACTACTGTATATAATTTGAACAGCACAGTTCAGGCACAGAATTTAGCATACAGTCTCTAAATGTAAGAATTTTATTTTAGTATTAATATTTACAAGGTGACCACTACCATATCTGCATACTACAGTCTTAAGTTCAATTATTCTTTCCATCCCTTTGAAGCAGTGAAGTGTTGTTATTGTCCATAGATAGGGAAGTGAGGCTTACTAAAAGCAAAATCTGTATAGATGGAGAAAGTGTGTTACACAGATATGCCTTGATGATGACATGGCAAATGGTCTTCTTGGGTGGCAAAATGTGTTAGTAGACAGGAAGGGGAGAGGGTCTGGAAAGCATGAATACTATTTCTGTAGTTGTTATCACTTCGCTAGATGAGGTGGGTAAGTCACAGCTCTCTGGGTCTCAACTTCTCCATTTACAAACATTGACATGTGAATTTCAGTTTTCTTTGAAAATGTTTCAAGCTTCTTAGAGAACCTTCCCATAAGCTTGCAAGCAAGCCAGCATTACTGGTCACGGCACATCAGTCTATTCCAATGACTGGTTTGTAATTTGTCATCAGTGTAATATATGCAATCTTGGGTTCAGAATCACTTACAGTAAGCACATTCTTCCCAGACTTTGTGAATTCAGACAAGATGAACTCTGAATTACCTTCTGTGTTCAGGAAGAGGAAGAAGAGTAAGAAAATACCTGAGACTTCCACACTCCTTTTAAGGAATTATGGCTCTACCCTGAGCTACTGCAATTCCCTGTGTCTGCTCTCCCACGGGCAGGACCAGGAGGACAGAAGGGGTCACAATTTATCACAACAGCTAGGAGAGAAGTGTCACTGTAAAGGCTGAAAGCATTCTGGTGCAAAAAAACCCACTTGTCTCTGGTTACCAGGGGTGTCTAAACAGCACGTGAAATTCCTCTGTGGTTTCTGCAGCCTGTGCACAGGAACTTTCCTCAAGTGTCTAGTAGCTCAAAGTTACAATTCCACCTCCAAACAAAGATGCTCTCAAAGAGTATTCATTTTATTTATAACAGACATTTTGCATGGCCTGTCTGAGCACATTGACTTGGGCTGGGTAATGTGATGAGATGAGGGGAACTGTGATAGCTGAGAATTACAGCTTACCTTCTCCATAGTGCATAGTGCTTGATTCTGGTTCAGCAGTGTATCATTTTAATGCTCCTCATGTGATATTTGCATTCTTATGTTTTTAATTCCTGACTACTTGAACTGCACTTGTAAAAATGGTATTTGTGGCTGACTAGCTGCCTTCTTTGCAGCCATAGAAATAGCTCCATATGCTTTGACTCCTGCTTGTTGCTGCTCTGTAACTGATACCTGAGTTGGTTTGAAGGCCACAGCTCTAGCTGAAAGTGACAGCACATCTTCCATTCATTCCATTGTCTCTGTCTGAATGTATGGTGAACAAGACACATCCTGAAAATCAGAACCAAAACAGACCACATAATTCACTGTTTCATGGAATAAAATTGTCTGTTAGAAATCTAAAGAAAACTACCGTTGATCAGCATTCTGAAAGTAACTAAAATGTTCTAAAGGAATTCACTGTGAAAATCTTTTAATTTTTTCTCACTAGCTCATCTCCCCCAAATCCCAGCCCCTACTGGAAGTATCCTGCAGGGTATAAGAGAATAAACAGAAACATTTCTCTTTCCTTGCCACCTCCTTTGTGGATAGTAGCCCTCATAGCACTACCACTAGAAGGATTTTCCAGGAAGTGTCCTAGCATCCTTCAAAAGCAATGAGAAGCAGATCCTTCCTTTCCAGAGTAGCCACCTGTTAGCAGCCATCTCAAGAAGATGCTGGAAATCATGAGGCAAGAATAATGCCTAATTAAAGTGGTGCTCCAGTGGCAATCTTTACATCCAAGCATCTTTTGCTGGCAGGGGAGAGTATTTCTCCTTGGGAATCTTCCAACTGTTCCTGAACTATTTGCATGCATAAGATTTTCATAAGCATTCATTGTCAGCCTAATTCTCCTCTGACGAAGCTTAGTGGGAAGAAAATTAGGCTTTTAAAGTATTTTTTACAATGATACTTGGCCTTTGATGTCTACAAAAAAATTTCCCAATCCCCTGCAAACCACAGTCAGTTAGTAACCAGCAGTGCCCACAAAATCTTGGGTTCACAGGATAAGAGGAAAGAGACATCCTGCAGGGCAGGCACTCTCCAGATGCCACATGGAGCATCTTACCAACCTTCCCAACAAATGTTGAACAGATGTCCTGAGAAACATCAAGAGTGAGGACAGAAACAGAAATGCTGGACTGTCCTTTTCACATCAGTGGTAGCAACTCTTGGGCTACTGCTGAATCTAGAAAGTAAATGTCTAGGAGGAAGTAGGGAGTGTGCGCAGTTTATACCAAAATGAAATACACCACACAGGGAGGAAAAAATGACTCTAAGACAAACCCTGCAGTGCTGACACCATTTATTCTTTTCTGAAACTACACCAGGGGTGTTCCTGCAGTGAGCTGGAGAGACCTGAAAGAAGAAGAGTAATTTGATAAACCAGAATCATGACAAAAAAGAGATCAGACCCAGTATTCTGTCTCTTGACACATGGATACACATTGATATATAGAGTAGGAGTATATCCATAAGTAGCAAAGGCCTTTTAATGTGGAAATCTTTGTGTCTCACACATATACATAATCACTCAGCTACCAATAAAGGCTAGATGTAGCTGGCCTAGTCCCAGGTCTCATATCTTATCTCATATCTCATTTCCTTACAAACAAGGAAATGTTTACAGATTTCTGTAATTTATCTGTACTCAGGAGCAGTACAGTTGATCATCCGAATAGCATAATACGATGGAATCCAGCAACACTCACAAGGAGCTCTCTAAATTAAAATCTGTCTGACCTTTATGTTTCATGGACTTTACACATTTTGTGCTATTTGAGGCAGACTGTTACAAACAGTATGTTGCATAGCTAGAAAAGTAAGTGACATTGAAGTTTCTTCAGTGCACTGACAGATTCATTTATCCTATTGCTTCTTCCGGTCTTTCTTTGTAGGGGGGTCCAAAGTTTCAGAATACCTGAGAACTGGCTTTTGATTTCAGAAACCTCCACAATACTTGATATTAATAATTTTCTACATGCCTACCACTTCCGTCATTTGAATAAGCGCTTTGCCACCTTCCAGTCAACAGAAAACCTTAATAACATGCTGCAGTCTTGCTGTATAGAACATGTTTTTTCTCAGATTAATAGCAGTCAGTACAGAAAGAAGGTAGAATATACTCCAGGAGTCCTAATACCGGTAAAACAGCCTAACTGGGACAAGAGAATTAATAGTTTAAAAAAGGGAGCTACACTGAGGCACGCAGTAGGCTTCGGTAAGTCAAAGTAACTTTTGCCAGTTAGAAATAGATATTTTTAATAACTAGGAAATACTGTGTGGGTTCACTACCCTTTTACACTGGATTACTGGAATAGGCCCAGGATGTTTTAATTATTCCATGATATATAAGGATGATATATAAGGATGATTCACAGGAATTCTTCGAATGTGTATTTTCAGTATTCATTCCCCTCCCTCTGATCCTCACCCAGTACATTTCTATTCCTTAGAGAGTAAACTGCTTGGGACGAGGATGGTGCCTAAACCAGCTGTAATAGTAGCCACAGACCCAAAAATTAACCACTCTTCTGGTGCCATGCAAAGTTAATTTTCTCATGCACATGGGAAATATGAAAAGGTACTGTCCCAGAAGTCTCAGCAGCATTGTCTGGAAACACTGTAAAAGAAATGTGCTTGTGAAAGCATACCGATGTTAGGAATTATATAATTCAACAGTGCAGAAGGATAGTAACTGGATCATAGTTCTACCACAGCAGTGCAATATCTCTCTTACTGAACTGTTAAGTTGAGGAATTTTGAAAGATACAAAGATGCTCCAAATTAAGACTTCTATATTCTGGGAAAATTTCTATACTTCGATGGACTTGCCAGCAGGCACCACAATTAATATAGGGGAAAAATCACAATACAGAAATAGCTTTTGTAACTCTGCTTACAATTGCTGTGCTTACAGCAGCTTAATTTCTTGAATTACTTGTTTATATATGGCAGATCCTTCAGTGGAATAAATGAAGCATTAAGTGCTGGAAGAGAAAATGGAAAAGATGAAAACATAAACAAAGAGGACTATAGGGAGAGTACTACAATGCACATTAACACAGCAAAAGAGATACCTCACGGAGATTTATGCATCACAGAGATATGTAGTGAGTCTCACCAGGAAGCAGAAGAAAGGAACATGCACTTTTCTGAAACAAAACAAGAGACCACACAAAGCCCAAGAATTATTCCTAAAGTGACAGGCACCTCCAAAGTGCTCATGACAGATGAGACTGCTCTCAGAGGGAAGACAGAAGAAAGAAGGCCAGGTACTATGGTTGAGCTGCAGTTGTCCCTCTCAAATGAGAAGCACAAAAGCACCTATGCTCCTGCTGTGACTCTCTTAGGGGCAGAAAAATGCACCCTTTCAGGAAGAGAACCCAGTGTACAACAAGATGGGATTAGCCCTGTAATCACGATTCCCCTGGGCATGAAGGAGGGCAACATCCAGTGGTCAAGCAAAGTTGTCCAGTTTTCTAATGGCAAAAAGATCAAGAGGATCCAGGGTACAGAGCCATCTCTCCCCAGGGTGGAGGTGATCCTGGACTGTTCAAATAGGGAGAAGGAAGCACCCAAGTCTCGGGTTGAAAGGGGGTGTGTTAATTCTCAAGTGGAGGAAGGGCAGTCAGAAGTACCTCCTTCCCTCCTCTCCTTTGCAGTCTCATCAGAAGGCACAGAGCAGAGAGAAGACAACCAGCACTCAGAAAGGGATCACAGACCACTCAAGCACAGGGCAAGGCACGCAAGTAAGTATGTCTCATCTAATCATTTGCACTGCCTGAGGCTATCCTTTGTAATTTTAAACATAACTTCAGAATTTAGAATGTATTAGGAAAAATATGTTAAGAGGCTTTTTTCTGCAGTTTTCTAACTTTTCCTCTCTATTTTTCTTCTAAATTATGTTTCTGTTCTTGCTTTACATATTTTTTTCAGGGTAATACTTTGCTCCTGGTGATGACCCAAGAGTACACCCATGCCTTAACTGTGCTGAATAACTTTGCTTAGATGACTTTGTCCAATTAAAAATACTTGCATCCCCCAAAAGACTGAATTCTGATGGTCTTCTAATGCATATTCAGAGGCAATCTGTAGAATACTAACAAAAAAGCAGTTTGCTTGAACATGTCTAAGTGAATCCTGTGGATTTCTCCTTTTATAGAAAAAACTTTGTGTTGTCATTTGCATCTTCTGAAATCAAAGCCATGCCACTGCTCTTAAAAGTTAACAAAAAAGCTAGTAGAAAAGCCCGATGTTGCCTGCAGAAGAGATTTTGACAGACATTAGCATGTGTGTGTTACATGATCCTTTCAGTTTTGTCAGTCTTCTCTAGACTGTAAAGTGAACATGCTATTTCTTCTGACTCCCATACCCAGAGGTGAGCTTCAAAATGTGTCCAAGAAGTTTACATGTAACTAAATTTGCAACTGGATACAATATTCATTCACTGTCTGTAAATATGCATCATTTATTTATCTATTAATTTATTTACTATTTTATTCATTTGGGATCTTGCTATTGGCTGCTTACTCTTTCCCAACAATGTTAAGAATCCTGTCTGGGTATTTAGCAGCAGTATGTCAAAGGTGCTTGAATGTGTGCCGTGATATACTGTAGCAACAAGCTATTTCATGTGTAGTGTTGGAACTAGTCTGCTAACCCCCTGTTAATTCCTCTGTAAGCATATTTTTAGCATGATAACCATTTGTATCTTATTGGCAAGTGGATTAAACAGTTAGTTTTGCCTAAGTGTCTGTATGCAATCCACATATCTTTGGCGTATTGAATGAAGCATAAAAGAAATGTGCACATGCTTTACATTTTGGCTGTGAAGTTAGAACCAGCTGTGGGACTATGCCTGTCTTCTTTAGAGAATTACTTGCCTGCCTTCTGCAGGCAGAAGTATAAGGAATGAATTACATATTACACTATAGACTCTTCTTTCAAGTAGGATATAGATTCTGTCCTCACCTCATCTATGACAATCTCCACTCCTTCTAATCTAGTGGCAGGACATTATCTTTAGGAACCACTGATGTAATCTATGAAAGTGTTTGCTTTTAGTATTATTATTACTTGCAAAAGACTGTCTACACATTAGAGCAAACAAATTGCCAAGCATAGGGGAATAACCTGTGTGCAGCAAACAGTATGTGTGGATTTTCTTAAATTAAAAATTACAATGCAGCAGTTAAGTCTAAACTAGAGAACATTTATTATAGGTGCTTGATCTCTTCAAAATAATTTTTTGCTGTAACTACTTGTCAGATTATATTTATCTGAATAGGTAACATTTCTTCTGCCACCTTTTGAAACTACTGATTAAGTAACTATCCAGATGAAGTAAGGAAAAATACGCTAACAAAATGGAAAGTTTTGCCTTTTGCCAGACTGTATGGGTACCTGATTAATCCCCTCCCCAGAATAACCCTCAGTGCTGATGCAAGTACATTATTTGAAAGCACAGAACTTACATGCTTTCTGTTTGCAGAAGCACTCTTAACACTAAAACCTATACTTTTGGAAAATGTCCTCAGTGACTACTGTAAGCATTTGGATAACCCAAGGACTGAGCCAAGGATTTTGTGATTTGTCTCTCTCACTATAAAGTACTATAAACTCCTGGTTTGGGTGCCATGCTGTTTTCTCTTTTATAGGTTCTTGTGAGAACCACTGGTCCAGCCATGCTGTCATCTGGCATAATGGTGAAACTTCAGTTGTCTTTAATAGAAGTATCAGTCTCCATCTATTGCCATGGCTAAAATGAGCATTGATAGAAAATCCATCACATGGCTTTCTTTACTGAGTTTGCTTTATTTATGCCTGCAAAAGATATTAAATAATTTACTGTTCTATTTTCATATATCAGAGGCATGCTTTTTTTTTTTTTTTTTTGTAAATTAGGTGGAAGGTGATCATTTATTTAGACAGCTTCAACTTCTAGTTCTTTTAAAGGGAGAAGCTATTGAGGCTGTCATTCATGAGATGTGGTGGTAGAAGATAAGGAAGGGAAGGCAACAGGGACACCACCTGACTAGCATTGTCCCATGAGGAACATGCTCCATGTCACATAATGAGGAAGGAGTCATGCTGATATACAGTGCATCTATCAGCTTTACAGCTGCACCTATTCCCATGCCACATGACTTGATGAAAACAGTTTATGCTTTAAGAAATACATATTACTGATATATGCTAGTGAATAATCTTGAGAAGTTAGTTGAGCCCCCTTCATTCAGACCTTAGATGTGTATTCATTCCTGCCACATTTTCAGAATAAATATTCTGAAGTTATATCCTATACAATTCTGTATTATGTTTCCGGTAAGTAATGCTTGTTAAAACACTGAAACCTATTTTCATTGAGTACCATGGCCAAACTCCCATGTCTTCCAAGAGGCTGAAAGTTAATGCTAATAGTTTCTATGTATGCCTTTGTGGATGTTTACTTGCTTTTAAATAGCTATTACAGAGAATCATACCAACTTTTAGCAACTATGCACATTCTGTAATTCATACGAGTAAACACATAAATGGCAGAAGCTGCTACCACTGTCAGACAGAATACAGTTAGTCTCATTTGGTCTCAGACGTTGAGCAGTCATGAGGCTGGCTGGCTGGGAATGCCCACTGTAAGCCTACGAAGTGTGGTCAAACATTTGGTAAATGCCAGACCACAGAAACTGAATAAATGAAAAAATACTGTCTGCCTGTTGCTGCAGAGATTACTTAGGGGAATAAAAATCAAGGATGCCAGAAACAAAGACACAGGTAATGTTCCTTTTGAACTAAGAAAGTCTTAAAGAAAGTGATGTGGCCTTTGAACTTGCATGGCTGTGACTAACAAATGCTAGATACAGAATTTACAACACAGTGGATGTTGTGGGAAAGGCTTAAGTATAATCACCTTGCTATATAAAAGAAAATAAATGTTTTAATATAGCAAAAGCAGCAGTGGGTAAATTTTGGTATAGATAATTGCAGAACTATTTGTTGCTAGTCTCCTTGTATTTTTGTGGGCTCCATGCAATTAATGTTCACTTTGACTCCTTCCACAGGGCTCCGGCGAAGTGAGAGTCTTTCAGAGAAACAGGTCAAAGAAGCCAAATCCAAATGTAAAAGTATTGCACTGCTGCTGACAGCAGCATCCAATCCCAATTCTAAGGGGGTGCTGATGTTCAAGAAGCGTCGTCAAAGGGCGAGGAAATATACTTTAGTCAGCTACGGTACTGGGAAGTTAGAACGTGACGAAGACGAGGGTGAAGAAGGGGAAGGTGAAGAGGGGGACAAAGAAAACACTTTTGAAGTGAGTCTGCTTGCAACAAGTGAGTCAGAAATAGATGAAGATTTCTTCTCTGACATTGACAACGACAGTAAGATTGTGACATTTGACTGGGACAGTGGTCTACTTGAGGTTGAGAAGAAGATAAAAAGCGGGCACGAGATGCAGACACTTCCAGAGAGCACAGGTAAAGGGGCCCTCATGTTTGCCAAGAGGCGTCAGAGGATGGATCAGATTACAGCTGAGCAGGAGGAGATGAAAGCACACACAGTGCATACAGAGGAACGAAGAGAAGCGATGTCAGAGAACTTCCAGAAACTAAGTTCTACAGTCTATCAAACAAAAGAGGAAGAAATGTCAAGACAGCAGACCTGCGTGAGCAAAAGCCACACAGACGTGAGCCAGAATCATAGCAAAATGCCACAACAAAATGGCTTTGGCTTAGCACCAGACACAAACCTCTCTTTTCAGTCCTCTGACACTCAAAGAGCAGCTTCTTTGAATAAAACAGTGAAACCCTTCCCTTCTGGGGTTCAAAATCGAGCAGCTGCACCATTTTCACCCATAAGAAACATTACTAGTCCTCTTTCAGATACACCAGCACCACCTCCTTACTGCTCTGTTAGCCCACCACCTGAGGCTTTATACAGATCTGTTTCAGCTCCTGTAGCCAGCAGAGCTGCCCCATCTGTGTGGCCACCCAG